GAGGCAATGGAAGCTCCATGAACCCAATATGGGGAGAAAATGATATTTTATTCTCTACAAAGACTCCAGAAAATATCTATAATTTTCAGGCTGGGCTGGACACAGACGAGAACAGATTCTCATCAAGCCTGTTGGTTACTATACGATGGCCGCCGAATGATGGGTTAAGACGAATACCTTCCAGCATGCCAGAGAGTAGAGCAAAGATACTCTTCCTCCGTTGCACATTGGGGGAGCCTTCATATGAGCGATAGAGATCGTACAGTTCCAAAGCCACAGTAGATCCTAACAATAAGACTACTACTATCAACAACACTCTAGTGTGATGAAAGTGTTACCTTCGACTGAGGTGAACGCCGAGAAACACTGTTCAACAAAGGGGGCAGGGACGGTCTCTGGAGAAGGAGGCAGCACTGATGGGAGGACCTACCGTACAGGATGATCGATCGCGATGGAGTACTCAAAGCCTACCTTTATCCGATGTCTGTTAAGAGTGGACTCCACTGGCATTGCCATTCGAGCATCTGTACCGAAGCTAGGACGGAAAGAGAGGTGCTGCTGTAGATAGGGCTGACCGAGAGAAGCACTTCTAGCCCTCCAAGAACCGATCGTACTACATGCCGGAGTTTGGGCCATTGACCAAGCAGGGAGGATCCAGTAGTGGTAGTAGCTGCCTCATCAGAGACCATGTCGTAATAAGTAGGCTTATATGCAGTGAATGCTCCTGGCTGGGCTCGGCCCCCTCCACTGAAGACCTCTTCCACAACAGGAGACCTGCATGATAAAGTAACACCCGCGATAGATGCAGTACACGAACCTGGACGCCTTAGTCTTAGACGGCTTCGCTTCCTCCTCTTCCTGTCCAGAAGCCTCCCCACCCACTTCAAAGAGCATGTCCTCGTCAATGCCATCCGTTGAAGTAATAGTAGAGGGATCCAATACCTAGCAGTGTTGGAATATACGTTCGGTTTCCTCAGCCCAGCTCAGAGGTTCCCTCGCTATATCATGGACATTCACACACGACTATACAAAACCAACAAGAACTCTCGAAAATTTCCTCAGAGTTCCCCTATGGTCACCAAGACACACAGTTCATATCGTCCTGCCCATTACGCACGTGGTCCTACTACTACAACTGGCCATACGAATTGGTATGTCGAATACCTCCCCCACTAAGAGGCGTTCACCGTCCTCTCTTACTACCGTGCCCTTCAATAGTTTATCCCATTCTCCCGTAGCCATGGTCTTAGTCTCGTGGAAAGGGCTGTCGTCCGTCTCCTCCTCCTCTCCATCCGAAGATGAGGACATGTCAGCATCCCACAACGCATCCACGCCAAACCGAGCCATACGTGTACAAACAAAGTACTACGATGGTATGGAATTCTCAATCGTGTGATGAAAACTCAACAGAGCGGGGAGTCGGTAAATTGTATTCGCGCTCAACGGTTACTTGGCAGGCTCTATCCTGTTGACACCGCTTTGTGCTGCAAGCTCTTTCCGGCATTGATCAGTTAAGCTCTATAAGCATAAACAGCATCATCATCATGGACCTGCGGCCGCGCTCACCTGTGTATACATATCGGGTAAGTGGACGTACCGTACAACACTGCCTCGGATAAAACAATTACGTAGAGAGAGGAGATGAGGGTACTGAGGGGAAGGGCCGAGATTTCTACGCCGTGGGGGAGATTTATAAGACCCGATATGTTCATGGTGATACCATTTCACATCATTCGTTGTTCATATGATAGCCCATATTCCTGCGTTGGAGAAATTCATGACCACGGTTAATACAAGGGATACTCATATTGACACCTCACTCTAATGCTATTCGCTAGAGTTTAGCGTCACGCGCCACGAAATTAATACCTGTTCAGGATTGTTGATAGAGATGTTCTTAAGTTTAACATTGAAATACTGATCCACTGCTTGCAACGTGCCTGATGCGAAGAGCACCTCCTCTGTCACTGCTGTGTTCAACCTCAAGATACTACCCGTTATTTGGACGTCATTTTTCATCTCCACTGTGACCTGGGCGTTGCTGTCCACGAGGTTCTGGAAGAAGTCGAAGAATAGCATCTCGATCAACTACTACGCGAAAAGGCTGAGATACTCAAACACGACAGACGTGAGTTTCTGTCAAGAGGTAGTTGTAATAGCGATCTCCTCAAAGAGTGCTACAGTATAAGAAAAGTGCTATTATCCCCTACCACACAAAGCACTTCATATTGATCGAGGTGTGGTATCAGTCTGCAGCAGCATGGTGAACCGTGATCGAAACTGCGAATATTCCGACAACCACAACCACATAAGAAGCACCATGGATAGCACAGAATTGCCAATACCGCGCAATTCCATCAACACGGAATCTTCACGAGCACCTCTGTGAAAAAAGTCGTCGCTAGTTACCAAAAAACTATTGCTTTCTCATGAGAACACTTGTAGTAGTGCGAAATAATGACACCGACCTTCCGGCTCCTCTTTACCACTTCCTGCACATAAAGATAGCCATAGTACACTGAATAAATATGTAACGACATTTTGGGTAGTATAGAAGTAGATAACAATAGTTTTAATACTTTCCGCGCTCAACTTCACCAAGGCGCTTTCAGAATCCACAAGTCCTTCAGCGCCTCGCCAGGTCCATATCCTCGTTGTCATTATCAATTGAAGAAATTATGGTAATAGGTCAATAATAAATCATGGATCAGTCCCCATGCTATGCCCTCCGTTAATAAGCGGCAGAAACGTTACATTGCACGCCTATATGAAAAAACTCCCTACAGAAAACGGAGGAGGAGGCATTCTTTTGCCATGGGGACTATTGCTTCAGCATACCGATACCACTACTGCCTTGTCCACACTTTCAAAACCCTCGATGACCAAAGACATATCACTTTCGCCTACTTCAACATCATTCATAGTACAGCATATCACCAACGAGGAGCCTTCTTTTATATCTAACTTCAGAGCATGAAATTCCAACTGTGAACAATCGTCCATCACCTCTACAGCGGAGTCCTTGTATGAAGACTCTTTTCTTCCGCATCAGAGTGCTTGTGTCATGAGGAGCATTCTTGAGCAGCGCTCCAGAATGAGTTTTTTGTTTTTTAATTGGTGGCTCTGGGGTTACCACTTCCTCCTCATCCTCACTAGAGGTAGTATCAGGAACAATAGCATACTTGGCATTTTCAGTGGTAACTTCGCCGATCTTAGCGGCATCAGGCAAATTTCTCTCTACATCACTACTCACAGGAGCAGCACATGTCGTCAAGACCTTGGTCTTAGTGATGAACGATGGTTGTGAAAATCCTCTACTGGCGATTTTCAATCCAAGGCCGAGATTCTGTGCCTAAAAACATGCACGATATAGAGCATCAGCACTGAGCTAAACTGAGGACCTTGAGATTGAGCAATGCCACGAGGGGCTCCTGTTGTTGGTTCAGCTGGTCCCGGCCCTCCTCATTTAGGATCATGTTAAGCACAACCGACGCGCGTGGTGGGGCTGGGACTTCGGGCTTAGAACCGTCGCTATAGTCGACTTCCTTAGACAGAGCACCGCTACTGAGAACATTTGTGGCATCGAATGTAGCGAAGGAGCAAACCATAGAGATGAAAAAGAAATCGCTACGACAACTTCCCTCCACACTGGAGTAGAATCAACGCAAGCACGATGAGTATACACGACGATGAGCACATGTCTCAACTTATTGGTAAAATGACTGACTTCCTTTCAAAAGTATGCCAAGGCGCCGGCATCTTCCCGACGATGCACACCATGACCGGCGATCTTGGAACGGTAAAAGGTGGCTTTCATCAGGCCTCTAGCATTACCCTCAGAAGCACCTGATGCCAGCAATAGGGAAACTAGGTGAGACTGACCCACTACCCGCTGAGAGGCTTCTCTTCCTAGTTTGAGCCTCCCCTTGAGCCGGCACTGTCCATCCTACCTCCATAGCTGTAGTAACAGGGGCTCCAGTACATCTCTGAAGACCGTGATAAGACGTCTATATCAAACGCTACGTTACTTGCTGTGGCCCCGTGGTCCTTCTCCTGAAATCTAGGTAGGCCCTTTTCCCCTCCTCCTCACTACTAACGCCATAGACAAGCAGTTCCTCCCCGACAGCGTCTATGAATGACCATAATCAAGCAACGCATACGCTCAGCCTACCTGAGGTCTCTCGTGCCAATAGCTCACCCCGAGGGATCTTCTTCGTGGAAAACTCACAGTAGGGTGGTGGTGAGAGAGCGAACCTCTAAAAGTATCACCCCATGCAGACAGGGATTGTCCTCTTTCCCGACCTGTTCCAAAAACCTCACAGCCGAGCTCTTGGGTGCAGGGAAGGGCTCCTAAGACGAAACTATCCTACCATCATCGATTCGTATCATCCCGTCACCGTGGGATCAGTTTTATCACTCGTTCCAAGATCAAACTTGGCTAGGTACTTGGCCTTGCAGGGATCGGCATTGAGACCGATCCATATGGTGGACCCACGGCCTGGCAATATGATCCGATAGCACATCCCCCTCTACCACTACTGCTACTCACCGTCAAACTTATATCGAGGCTTCAGCCTTTTGCCGCTTTTCTTATACTCTTCGAACGCCTATGAAAAACGTAGAGTTGTGAGAAAGTATCAACCAAATCACATTCTGGATCCATTTCCGCTGTTGCCCCCTTTCCTTTTCGAAGATCTCACGCCAGGCCTTCATCTCATTCGTTGTCGTCCCGGCTGACATAACGGGGATGAGTCGATGAAAAAAACTTCGACTGTTCTTGTGATTCGTTCAGTCAACAGATCTCGCTATGCAACTAGACCACCAGAGACGCTACACTGCAGTATGGACACCTCTACAATGCTCTATGCAGCTTGGTCGTTAAGCCAAGAGGAATCGCTACACTTCAACGGGAACTGGCACTATACATATACACCGTGAGAGGAGAGACACCTAAGGCGGATAGGGTCTTGTGGGCCATACGATAGGCGTGATAGATGCCCGTGGAGAATGAATCAGTCGTAGGGAAGGTATGTCGAGTCCACATTGTGGATGAAAACAGAATATTAGCGAGTTATATGAGCCATGAAGTCACTGGACTCTTGACGGCTGTTACGTAGCGATTCAAAGGGAATGACACCTTGGGGTCATATAAAGACGGAAGAGGAGAGAGTAAGTGCCATGTAAGCACTAATGATGGTAATATGTTGTCGATCACATCTTTCCCTTTTTGTTTTCCAATTTCTGAACGGATCTGGCAAAGTACAAAGTTACATTTTGCAGAAAGTGCGTCGCTCCGCTCATATGCAAACGGGTTCGCCCAAAAGTCAATATCAGTCGCCAATATCATCATGACCCTGCTAACGAGGACCTTCACGCGCTCTCTCGGGGCATCCCTCCTATCCAATCGAGCTACTCTACTCTCCAATAAGCAGCAAAGCAGATGGTACTACTTTAGGTCATGGACTTCCTGTTCGCTTACTAGGATCAACTGCCCTCCCTCCACCTGACCATGTGGTAGGTATCGCCATTGGCACCGTATGTCTGAGGATGATTGGGCTCTGCCCTTGGACTCCATGCCTGAGGACGTGAAAACTCTGATGGCCACACCACAGACCGAACGAGGCTTCGTAGAGGACTACTGGTACCTCATAGGTCTTATGTATTCATCCCAACAACGCAAGTGCCTAGGTATAATAGAATACGTGGAGAGGCAACACTGTTGGACCCAGAGGCTCTGCCATCTAAGAGCTACATTGACCTGGCCAGGGACATGGGACTTCAGATTGTCGATGAACCTTCGAGCCATATGATGGGTCTTATCGAGCTGTAGACCTCACTGGTAGTCAAGTGCGGGTGGTGGAAGACTGGTATGCAGATACGAGTACTTGAGAGGGGCATCTTTTGTCGGCCCTTTTGGTACTATAGAGAACCCTGTCCTGGTCCCAGCTGTGGGTCAGGAGCGCGTTGTAGCCTGCACTGGAGGAGTTGGTGATGAGGAGCATTTCACCTTGTGGTTTAGATGCAGGTAACCGCTTCACTCAACGGTCGCTGGTAGTGATCCTACCACTCTCAGGGAAGGTTTCATGTACCGTTGTGGAGAATGTGACCAAATTTTCATGCTCGTGCGGCTCTACTACGAGGACCGTTACTGGACACAGACCCTCGTCAGAGACACTTTTATGTCTGTAAGTGCAAAGGCTCTGTTATCAACCATTACTAAAGCTGCAGGATGGTGACATGTTCGACTTAAAGACACTGGAGAGGGTGCATAAGATGTGGAATAAGGACGAGATGGTCCGATGGGAGGTGAGCAGATCTATGGTAGGGGCCTCGGAGGGGCTGGAAGTATGGCTTAGGTCGGCTACTGGGCCCAGGATTATGTCCTTGGCAAGGGTGTACTCCCTGGTATGGTGGAGGAACATACTCGTGTGAACTAAGTTTAACGATGCACCTTTTTGATACTATTATCATTGCACAGCGTTTGAGTGGATATTTCCCTCATACGTCATATGGAAAGCGTCGTCGTATAACATGCGGGGGCTCTAATAGTGAATTTTCGAAACACTGTGAGAGAGAGTTGAGTTCACAGTAGTGGTGATAGTGAGCAGCACTAGAAATTTTGTGGGGCGTGACGCCGTGTTGGAGCACTTGAGGAGAAGCTCATACTTGCGCAAGTTGGTTCGCATGAATCAGACTATTGACAAGGTGGGTGAGGAAGAGAAGGAGGAGTTTATGGATGTCGAAATGTCCTCTCGAGGATGGTATTAGGAGCTCCCCTATGCGCGTCCAGTTTGTGAAGATAAGCTTAAACGATACTGTTTTTATCACGCGTTTTCGGCTTGAGTTGGTCTTGTAGCATCCTTCTATTGGGTGCTCTTCTATTCTGGGGGAGTTATTCCTAGTACGTAAGCTATGGTGGAGGAGACAGCTGTTGTGTCGGGGTCTTGGGACCAATGGGCGTACAGGTGAAGGTTGTCAAGGTAGAAGGTGGCGCAAAACGTGTGTGAGCTATGGGTGGTCATGTTCCGGACCTGTTTTGAATCTTGTAGCGTGAACTTAGATCTACAATCAGTTTCCAACCACTACTACCCAGCCCAAATGTCCAGACAGTTCCGCGGTGATGATCATGAGCCTACCTGGGAGGAGGTTAAGGGTCTCCTAGCCGACCCCGAGGCCCCTGTGGAACAGAGGTATCGCGCCCTCTTCTATGCCCGCAGCCGGGACGATTCTGAGGCGATTGAGGCTCTTTATAAGGTTTTGGAGCCCGAGACCAAATCGGTATGTGCATGCGTGTTGTTCATACCACTCCTCACCGAACTTGCCAGGTCCTCCTCCGACATGAAGCATGCTATTGCATCGGCCAGATGGAGCATGGATTGGAAGGCGCATGGAAGCTCGAGAGCGTCATGGACGACGTTAACGAGCACCCCATGGTGAGATCTCGACCATGGTACTCATTAACGAGTACCATTTTGGTTTATTTCAGGTGCGGCATGAAGCCATTGAAGGCCTCGCTGCGTGTGGCTCCGTGGACTCCCTTGAGAAGATCCGTCCCTATCTGACCCATGAGAACGAGGCTATCCGGGACACCGCTACCTTAGCCGTCGAATCCCTTGAGAGTAATATGAATACTGCCTGTCAACTTCTATTCCTCACACCTTCCCTCTTAGACCTCAAGCAGACCAAGGACACCGATGCCCAGCGTAGCGAGTTCAACACTGTCGACCCCATCGGAGCCAAAGCCCGTCAGCATGCCACCAAGACTGAGGAGGTACTAGCCCTTCTCCCAGCTATCCTTCTATTCTGTCATTCAGGCCGCCCAGCGTCTCATGGACCCCAAGGCCAAGCTCTCTGACCGGTATGCTGCCATGTACCAGCTACGTGCCGCTACCTTGCCTGGCTCAGTGTAGGCCTTTTCTGTAGTCGGTAACCCTACTCTACCTGACCCATAGGTCCCCCGACCCTGAAGCGCTCAAGGCCCTAGCTCGAGTACTTAGGGAAGACCACACCTCAGCTTTGATGAGGCATGAGCTTGCCTTCGTTGTGGCCCAGGTCGCTTTCGATGCCGATAGAGAGATGGTGAGTACAGACCCAACGGGACCCGTCCGACCCATTGCCTTCTCCTCGATAGACCCTCTCGAGCGTCCAAGCCCTTATCGATTCTGTGAAGGATACCGACGAGGCCTGCATGGTTCGCCATGAGTCCGCTGTGGCTCTCGGCTCCGTCGGTGGTGAGGAAGCCACCAAGTTCCTAAGGGAATACGTCCAAAGGCCCGTGAACCATGACGAGGTAAGACCATCTCTCTCTTGCCTTTTACCCATCCTACCCTCTCAGGATGAATCTGTGGTTATCGAGAGCTGCAAGGTAGCATTGGATGCCATCAACTTCTGGTCGGACATGACGACTATCGAGGAGCAGCCAACGGAAGGCTCAGCCATCACTGCTTAAACTCCTGTGGCTCTAACGTTTAATAAATCTCTAATAACATTACCTCGGGGCTGATCTCCGAGTTTGGTAATAAGGAGGCAGTTTGCTTACTCTACGAGTTTCTTATAAAGTACTGTCGTATCTTTTCACTGCGTGATATCATTGCTGCTTGAGTTGAGTCACGATAAAAGGGGTTCAGTCATGGTGATGGATGCTCCCGAACCTCGTCACCACTCTTCGGGATTGGATATGGTTGAGACTCCTCCGAGAGGTACCCAGCTGTAAGCCCCTCGGTGAGAGGAGATACCATGATAGTTTGGCTAACAACAGCACTACTTCTATTGGCCTTCTCATCTAAATGGACCGGCTCTATATCAATAGTAATAATGAATGGATCCAGCATCGTCCCTAAGAGGGGAATCCTGGACAGCAGTAGTAGTAGATGCAGCTGCCACTTCTGACAGGCGTTTTCGAGCCTTGCTTATACACCGTTATCCACCCACTTGGCTCTGCTACTACTAATCAGTACGGCATTAGCGAAGCCGGATAGAAGTACCCCTCGGGTGAAAGTATCATACCCTTATCCGAGGTAGCCTTATAAATTCTAAGTATGTAAGGCCACAGCCAACCTCTACCAGGTCTCCGGCTCCCCTTACAATCACACTGGATTTCGGAAGCCCTCCGATTCCACTGTAACGTTACCGAAAAAGAACATGTTCACGCGTCGAGAAACTGGCAGTTTATTTAACAACAGGACAACGATCATTGCTCCCTCTTCTCCTCTGCTGTCGATACCTCCTCCTCCTCCTCCCCAGGATGCAACCAACACACAGGGTTCTTCTTCAAACTCGTAACGTCCATCTTATGACCGAAGAGCTCCCTAATATTACCAATACCATATTGGATCATAGTAGGTCGCTCCACAGAAAGGCCCCATGCGATGACCGATACATCCTCGGGAATGCCCTGACAAGTACTGTACAGACGGAGGTAGTCACGAGGAGCTCACCATAGGACGGACCATCTCTGGTCGGAATATACCAGAATTGCCTATTTCGACCCACTTGTCGAGCATAGGATGGAAGGCAAAGATCTCCATACTCGGCTCGGTGTAGGGGTTGTATGCAGGCTTGAAGCGGAGGTCCGTGAGGCCCATACGTCGGAAGAACTCTCGGATGACCTATCCAGGCGAGTATAACGAAACACGGTCATAGCCTCCATCCGCCCTACCCCTATTAAATTGCCAAGGGTTAGGTTACGGTCAGCGACGAAGCCTTCCACTTGGTGGAACTCAGCGAGATGGGTGGCATCCAAAGTTTCATTACGGAACACACGATCGATAGAGAAACACTTCTTAGGCCTGATAGCCAGGAGAGCTTGCACAAGCAGCAATGCTCATGAGAGTTACTTGAAAACGCCAGTGCGGATGTAGTCCCGTCCCATCTCGTAGAGTACACGAGTGCTCACAGCGGTGGTATGAGTTCTGAGCAACACAGACTTCGCCTCGAGAACCATCACAACGCCGACCTCAGGATGTTCTTCCTGGACTCCTTCTCGGACCAGTCGTATCGCCACCCGATAGAGCCATAGCCGCCAACCTCGTGCATATTCCTGGACAACGTAGCGACAGTGAGAGTCATCACCTCTACAATATCCTTACTTCACGGCGTTCATGTAGTCCTCAGGGATCCTGTTGGTAGATGCAGGTGAGGTAATGAAGAACCTAAGGCAGTTTCGACTTGTCCACTATCGCCCAACCCGACAGTGGCACTCACGTGTCATGAGCATCACGAGCGGGGTGCTGCTGAGGCTGGAAGAGAGCGTCGAAGTTCCAGAATGAGGACTCTAAGTAGCGGTTGGTGGGCATCTCCTCGAAACCCATGAGGAGTAGGATATTCCTACAACACTAGTGTGAGAGCGTTTAGACTGTGGAAGGGCTACCTGATCTCAGTCTTGACCTTGAGGAGAGGGTGGAGATGACCACCGCCAAGGTCCCGGGCAAGGGCCGTCTTGAGGTTGTAACTGAGGCGATCGGTTTTGGTATTCCCATCCGAGTTGGTATTGTCAGGTGTCGATCTGTTACTGCTGATAGGCAGACCTACGGTTTGAACTGGACATCTTTCCATGACTTGTTCTGTATCATCTCCTGGTGTGAGCTCAGTCTCCTGTTTGACGATCTCCGTTCTGAAGTTGCTAGTCTTCTCCACCTGAAGCCCAGTGGTCTTTGTGAGATGTATCTAACCCCGCTCCAAAGCAGTACACAGTGTCTTAGCGTCACACCTACCAATTTCCTCTCTTCAGCATGTCCATATCGGCTTCGCTATAGAGGCAACCTCACCCTTGCCGACCTACCAAGACACCAAGTAGCTTCACTCGCCGAGATCGCACTACTTAGTCAGCAGTACAGCTACAGTATCCTCTATAGAGTCCTTGGCTTTATCAGACAGTGACACCTCCTTGGTCGCTTTATTCATCGAGAGCCAGCTCTTCTTCATGGCGGCTCCGAAACCAATCTAACCCAGAACAACGAGTCACAAGACCACCCTCCTCAGCATCTACCTTGGCGACACTTCCAAGGGAGACGATGATGTCCTTCTGCACACAAGGGCCATGCTCCTTAACATAGGCCGCGACCTGGGATACCACAAATCGACATACTCCTAGAAGGCAAGCGTCCGCCCACCTGTGCTTCAGGACTGCCTAGAGTAGCATACTGCTCTCCTTCTTCAGTCGTCGTCCACTCCTCCTCCTCAAAAGGCGTAGTAGTAACGTAGTGTATGGACTGAGGGAAGATCAAATGATGAGGCAGTGGACGGACCTAGGTTAATACCTCTAGACTCTTGATGACACCAACGAGCTTAGCATGATCCCATCCAGAACTTTGGGCAAGAGCGATGGAGTTGTTGATACCACCTTCCTGCTGGTCTATTACAGTGAGAAGTGTTTCCCGACTAAGAGGTAATCCCGGAGCCATAGGACAGAGGACAGTAACGATCAATAATGAAAACCTGGATAGGAGGAAGTCGATCGGCAATCCCAACGCGACAAGTGGCACGCTGCCTCGAAACGCCTGGTTAGCGACCACGGTTTCAATTCAGTGGTGATGATGACGGGTAGAAGAGGACATCACTCTACATCGGACATGCCTTCATCATCCCCGCTTATGGTAATCTCATCATCGTCGTTGTCGTCGGAACAGAGGATCCCCTCATTCTGAGGACCAGGTATTAGGTGGATGAACGACTTCTCCTCCTCTTCCCCCGCCTTACCGGCTTCCACACTTGCACTATATTGTCCTCTGAGGTGCTGGCCACCATAGTAGGCTCGAAGGCATTCCAACTGATATCAGTGACTCGAGAGCAATGACCACCTAGACGAAGGGTGTATAAGTGCTTGACGAGATGCGGTAGACCCGTACCATGGACGAAGACCATCTCCGGAGGGCCATCCATCTCGTTGCCGTCCTCAATCTCCTCACCTACTCTGGACAGGTCCCATACTGTCACTCGACGATCGAGACCTGAGGCAAGGCGTTAGAGAGCCTTTCAAGGTCTAGAGGCATTACCAGCAGACATTATAAGATGGTCAGTGGTAGGGTTCCATTCGATGTTCAGCACATCCTCCTTATGGCCGTGCTCCAAGGCGTGGATCCTACGGAGGGGCACAGCTGGGTAACAAGGCCCACCCTTCTCATATTACTTTCGTGACATCTGCCGCATGTCCCACAGGCTCACCGTCTTGTCACTCCCGGCAGTAGCGATCATCTGATCGAGTAACCACCAAGGAGAATACAGCGATGTAGGGTGTATAGGGCCTACGTTATCATTGTGAGGTGAGAACTGGACGCAGTTACAGTCTGACTCGCCCTCGATGGCCACTACACTGTGGGCCGGCTGCTTTGGGGACCTCAAGTCCCATCTGGGGGGATAAAGGGCGTGAGGGTGGACGAAGGGGACGATATTGATACATGAGCAGCCGTCCATCATCACCAGTACTGGCTAGGATATCCCCATCACGACGATGTGTGGAAACAGCCTCGACCACATCAGTGTGGCCAGTCAGGACACTCACGGGGCTAACACCTTTGCCTGATCGATCGAGAAGAGATGGGACGATGAGAGCGGAGCGAAGCCACTCACCTTTGCCACTTTTAGGGACGCTGTTTGCGTCCCAGACTGCCACCTTGCAATCGTAGGCCCCTGAGACCAGCCGGCCAGGTACAGTAGGGCTCCAAGATAGTGCATACCTAGGGCGAGGACAGACGAAGAGAAGTGTCAGAGAGATGAATACCCTTCCGCAGTGTGGCCCTTCAAGGTGCAGAGAGAGTCAATGACGCCGTCCTTCTTAGGGTGGGAAGGGTGTTTGGAGTAATCAAAAAGTAATACTGAGAGGGAAGGACCATCACGAACTCACAAGGGCACTGAGCTTACTGTCGCCAGTGTTGGTCAGAGTCGCGATGATGAAGGGGTTTTGAGGGCAGTACCTGGAGGACGCTGGACCAAACTGAGGGGCCGTAGGGCACCCTACCTGGCCCTGTTCACTTCACCAGGGTGGTTAATCTTTGTCGATATACACATCCGGTCTTTATTGGCCGCTAGAGCAGCCCCTGACTCTAAGGGGCCCCTCCATCAGTGCCCCTCTAGCCGATAGTGTTATTACCGGAAGTCTCTATGTACTTGTCAATGTCCACCTCCTCCTTAGCATGGTATGGGACCTTCACTTGCCCTATCATCAGGTAATTCTGTTCCCCATTGCAAGTGTGAGTGCCGAGGATCATCTTGTGAGTTGAATAGTCACTGGCCTTATCCAAAGCCCTGAGGGTAAAGCCTCAGACCCATTGCCCACCTGATGGGCAATTCCCTTACGGTTTGATAGGGAGCCACTCGACGGTCAATGAGGGCCACTCCATGGTGTGGGAGATGACCATATCGTAGAGGAACGGCGTGTTCTTCTTCCATATGTTGAACCTAGAATGCCACTATCAATAGTCCCCCGAAGGGCAGTGTCCTACTCCTCGTCTATCTTATCGTCGGACCCCTCGACATCCACTTCCTCATCAGCAACCGATCTGGAGGAAGGCTCAGCTACCTTCATTTTGTAACAGATCCTCCATGATGACCGCTGAGGAGTTGACGAGAGAAATGGCGGTCCCAGGGATCGAACCGGGGATGCCAATATGGTAAAAGTCGCGCGCCCCAACAAGTGTAGATCCCTCCTGTTCATGGTTCCTTATTGAGGTCAGAGTTACGCCATCCATGCCTCGTGATTCCTAGGGCATACCGGAGAGTTCTATATGGAAAAGTGAATTTCTGCCTGGCATTGGACCGTGAATGACCCTACTGCGAGGAGGAGGAAGGCAGTGGTGCAACGCAATCGCTAGCAGCACCTTCCGGGCTTTGCCGTGCGAGTACTCAGTAGTTTTTACGATTCTCATAACATGTTATCAAAGAATCTCCTATCGCCTCGAATCGGAATTCTGGGTTGTTCTCGTTTTTACCATCACGCGGCCCCAGTGATCCAGGAGCTGAAGACTAAGGTGGAGCACCTGGCAGCCCGGGAGCAACCGCGCCTCCTGGAGCTCAAAAAGAAGTACAAAGATGTTGTTATTGGCGAGGTCTCGGCTGGTATGGTCGTTGGTGGTATGCGTGGTATCAAGGCCATGGTCACTGACACCTCCGACTTGGACCCTGTTGAGGGGATCCGTTATCGCGGTATGACGCTGAAAGAAGTCAATGAGAGTCTTCCCAAGGCGCCTCTCAAGGGCAAAGTAGGTTTGCCTGAGGGAGCTTTCTGGCTATTGATGACTGGTGAAGTCCCTACCCCTGAGATCGTATCCCACCTCAACGAGGAGCTGCACCGTCGTAGTTCTCTGCCGGCTGATGTCATACAGGTTATCGATAGTCTGCCCACATCCATGCACCCTATGACCCAGCTCTCGATCGGTATGCTGGCGATGCAGCCCTACTCCCAGTTCACTCAAAAGTACTCTCAGGGTGGTCTAGCCAAGAAGGACTACTGGGAGTACATCCTCGATGATGCTATTACTTTGATCGCTCGTGTCCCTCAAGTAGCTGCACGGATCTACCGGAGGTCTTTCTATAATAGTATTTTCATCGAGACCGATCCTCATCTGGACTGGGCTGGAAACTTTGCCAATATGCTTGGTGTCTCTGAGGACGAGAATTTCAAAGAGGCGACTCGTTTGTACTTGACCATGCATGCTGATCATGAAGGAGGTAACGTCTCGTCCCACACGACACACCTCGTCGGCTCAGCTCTGGCTGATCCCTTCTACTCCTGGGCGGCTGGTATCTGTGGTTTGGCCGGTCCTCTGCATGGTCTGGCTAATCAAGAGTGCCTCAATTGGCTTACCAGACTCCAGAAGTACCATCAACGACTTGGCATTGAGCCGAGTGTTGAGTCTGTGACGCAGTACACGAAGGATACCATGGCTAAGGGCCTGGTAGTTCCCGGGTATGGTCACGCGGTCCTCCGAGCTACTGATCCTCGTTACGCCCTTGAGAGGGAATTTTGTCTGCAGCATATTGCTGACGACCCGATGTTCAAGTTGTCCGAGGTATGTTTTAAGACGATTCCGCCCATCCTGCAGGCTACTGGTAAGATTCAGAACCCCTACCCTAACGTGGACGCCCTTTCTGGCACGATGATGCAACACTTCGGCCTCAAGGAGTCGGATTACTACACTGTTACATTCGCTGTGTCCCGAACGATTGGAGTTATGGCGCAAATGATTTGGGCGAGGGTCATGGCCATGCCTATTGAAAGGCCTAAGTCGGTTACTCTTGAATGGCTTTCTAAGACGGTCATGCACAAGACCAAGGGGTAGCTGGTCATCGCTCGGTGGGTAAGTTTTTCATGTCGTAAATACGGTACGGCAACGTACTGTTTTCAGGGAGACGTGGTATAAAGAGCCTCTGTTTTCCTGTGAACATATCTTATTAGTTTTTCTTCTTATTACTATATAGTGTTGTGTTATGGTTTGGGAGGTCCGTGGGTGCCGACAGTTAGTTCTCCGTGGTTCCAGAATGGCTGCTGTCGGTATTCCCATCAAGTTACTTCACGAGTCGGTTGGTCACACAGTCACTGTGGAGATGCAAACGGGCGAGCTGTATAGGTAGTAGGCTCGTAAAGGAGTGTGCCCATGGGCTTATTCGGTGTTGGTCAGAGGGCATCTGATCCACACTGAGGATAACATGAACCTCCTCATTGCGGAGGTGGTAGTAACGAGGAGGGACGGGAAGCAGACAAGTCTGGAGCAGGTAGTTCCGTGATGCTAGTGAGATGGTGGTCTCGTTGTTGATTACGGTGTTCAGGCCTACATCCGTGGCTCCAAAATACGTTACATAGTCGTTCCAGACAACCTTCGGTATGCTCCTATGTTCAAGCCTAGGAGGCAGGGTGCAGGTAATAGGGTAGACTGAGCGGTGGGAGATTGTCGCTATCGGTGGCTAGGTTCGGGCTGGGGTAGTTTGAACGCCCCTGGGGCCAAGGGCAAAGGAGGTAAGGGTAAGGGTGGCAAGGGCAAGGGGAGGTTCTAGTGCCTTCGTCCTCGCTGACGTCGTCTTTAACATCGACCTCACTTAGAAGCAGTAGGAGCCGACATAGTATTGTAAAGCTTTTCTGAGGTCATCGTCGACCCGTTATTGTTGTGTTTGTCATCACCACTTGGGAGGCTGCTGGGATTTTGTCAAAGTATTTCCTGCAATGTCGGAGCCGGATGTAGCCCGTGATACCATTAGATCTATGGGAGGTTGAGAGAAGTGTGGTACGGCTGCTGCATTGTCCTGTCTCTAGGCGACAGTGACGATAAGATTGACTCCAAGACTGGTCGCCTGTCTACTACTGGTTAGTGGTAGGAACCACTTCTAACTGCTCGTTCAGGTGCTGTTACCAACTGAGTGATGGGGCTTGGTTCGACGTAGTCTATAAGGAATGCCCCTATGGACGTAAAAGGTCGTGGTTCGAGGTCCACCCTTGATAGGGAGCTGGGGTGACCTCGGGAGGAGCCGATTCTGACAACTCAAAAACTTTGCTCGAGTCCTCCCGTGACGAATATTTAGGGAGTAGTCCACGACCTCACCGTCCTAGTAGGCCGACAAGAGTGTGAATGTGCTCAGCAATACCGGTGGAACTCCAAAGGCTTCAGTGCTACATCTATCATCATCCTTGCCTCCGCCGACCCGTCCAAAGAGTTTGGTAGTTCGGATGTGTAGGGGAGCTATCCTGCTTAGCGAGAATGGCTCGGCGAGACGGCTACTGCGGGCCTGAGGGGCTCTTGAGAGACTTTGATGAGCACTCTCTAGAAGAGGACCTGCCGGGGCACACTGGGGATGGGCTCACGGAGGACATCAATGTCTCGGACATCGGAGCTGAACCAACCAGCAAGAGATGGGGTACGCTGAAGCGGTAGGTGACACCTGTTCAGGCCTGAGTCGTTCGAGCCTATATTGCAAGACCACTGATTTCATCATGATTGCTCTAGTATCTGGCTTGCCGGCCAGCATGTTGTGTTGAATAAGAAGAGTGTGTTAGAGTTTCGTCCACACAGGCCTCTTTTCGGTTGACCTATGTGGAGGCCTCCTGGCCTCCTCCTGGTCACACTTTTGTGTATAGGAAGCGTATATGGTCGGCGCCTGTGGTTGGACACAGAGGGCTACTTAGGGCGTATTGAAGGTAGTGTGCCGGTATTGGCCTTTGGGACTGGAGGATCAACTAGTAGAGCAGTCATTTGCCTGACCTGCAATGGGTCGGCACCGAGCGAGGATGTCGGGATGACTGCGGGACTGATCTATGTCGTGTTGATATTTTCGATCCTCCCAACTGGCTTGTTTGGCGAATCTCATAGCATGTTTTTGGGGGTGTCGAATGGGGCACAACAGACATAGAAGTATCGAAACTCCTTACCTGACAAGGTAAGGAGTTTCGATCTGCTCGATCCTTTGCTCGATCTGGCATACTCTGTATATAACAGAGTATGCCAGATCGATCTATTGACCATCCCTAGGTCGAGGGGTGACTTCACCCTACGTCTTCGATGTTCGAGAGTTTGACCGTGGCGGCCCATGCGATCCGACTGTCCGGCAAATATCTGGGTA